GCCTTCCCAGACCCTGGGTGGTCAGGAACCAGCAGAATGGAGAATAGCTTTCAGCTGAAACATTTATAAATCTGGGGTCCCAAGGGCCCCATACAGCCACAGCCCCAGGCTGAGAGAGTGCGGCCACGCACCGGCTGCCTCCCGCGATTGCAAAAACCTCTTTCAACAGTTACACTGCAGCAGTTTTAAGCATCTTCAGGTACTTCTCACTTAATCTTACCAACAAGTCTGCAAAAGAAAGTCTCTTCTGCAGATGGGGAAACTGAGGGACCGGGAGTTGTGTCTTCTCCGAGTTCCCACATAATCAGTAGAAGCAAAAGTCTAATGACATGTGCCTTGACTCTCTGTCCACTGCTCATTCTCTTCTCCACGAAGAGGTTTTGGGGCACCTCTCCACCCCCCAACCAGGAAGTCACTCCACTTGTGATTATAAGCTGTTTGTGCATTTGTTCATCGGCTGGCTGCCCCTCTAGACCTCACGTTTCCTGAGGGCAGTGGCTGGGCCAACCAGAGTCAAACCTGCTGCAGCCTCCTTACCTGAGTCCCACTGAAGTGTCCATGCTGGCCCTAGGGCCCTCCTCCCTTACACGGCTGTTTGGGTCAGTGCACAACAGGATGGAACTCCCCACAGGCACTTCTCACAATCAGGCAGAAAGGAATCCACAAGCCACAGAGGGAAGTCTAGGGTTCAAGTCCTGGCTCTGCTCTTTGGCTTTGTGACTTGGGCATGTAACTGAACTTCTCTGGGTCTCAGTTTTCTCCTTAGGGAGAAGAGGAGAGCATTACTCAGCCTTCTCTCCATGCCCAGCCCTGTCCAGAGAATACCAACAGTGCCCATCCTCCATCTCATTCCTTTTGCACTTCAGATAGGCATTCTTAGAGCTAGACCAAGCCCCAAGCCCAAGACAAAACAAGCCTGGTCTCTGCTTTTTTTGCAGAGTCACGTGAGATCCAGGACAAATGGTAAGGCTGCAGGTGTCCAGGCTTATAGAATGGAGGACTACGTCACCTCCCGGGACACTTGGAGTAGTGACAGTGAGCCCAGCCTCTCCAGGACTAGGCCCCCACTGCCACCAGGGTGCCCAGAGATCCTGAGCAGGTCTTCCTGAACTGCTGCCCAGAACACAGGCGGTGCAGCAGGAAAGCCCGGCACAGCTGGGGGCCTCTGGGACAGACGTAGACTGCAGTCCACAAAGCTGCAATGCTGGAAAAGAAAACAGTGCTATAGGTGTGGAAGGAAGAGCACTGGACTGGGAGTCAGGAAGGTCAAGTTCTAGTTTCCTCTTATAGGAAGTGGTGGGGGATGAGGGGGATACAGAGGGACCGTCGCAGTGGGGCCAGGCTAGCACTATATTTCTCTTAATTTCACAGACCACTCACCCTGGGCTTTTTGTGGAGCACTCAGCAGCAGCTGCTACGAAGACAGATGTCCCAGCAGGTGAGACTGTAAATGGTAGATAATTCCAGGAGACTCTGAAATAAGGACAAGATTCTGTCTCACCTCTTCAGGCATCTCAGCCTTCTGGCAGGCAGGCAAGCCTGTGTTGGCAGGACCTCCTCACAGCTGAGGACAGAAGAGGTCCTACTTCGGTTCAAGGACAAAGTCAGCCTCACCTCCATCATCATCCCAACCCCCTTTCTCTTCATTATCTCATTTGATCCTCAGGATAGCCCCATGGAGAATGCAAGTCAGAGGTGGTTCTCCTCATTTCACAGATGAGGAAACTGAGACTCAGGGTGTGGGAAGGGCTTGCTATTAAGTTGCAAACACACAACTCAGATCTTCAGAATCCAAGTGTGGTGCACTCCCCACTGCCACACACTGCCTCTCCCAGGGGCCTTGTAAAAAGTCACAACCAGGAGCATGGCTCTGCTATAGCACTGATTACAAAGCTACTATATGCCAGGCACTCAGCTGGGTGCTTCTCTCATTCTTTATCTCAGTAAGTCTTCACTACCACCTAGTTCATAAATGTTACTAACCCCATTTTGCAGATAAAGAAACTCAGGTCCAGGGGGAGCGTATAGCTCAATGGTAGAGTGTGTGCTTAGCATGCACAAGGTCCTGGGTTCAATCCCCAGTACCTCCATTAAATAAATAAAAATAAACCTAATTTCCTCCCCCCTCTAAATAAATAAGTAAATTTTTTTAAAAAGAAACTCAGGTCCAAAGTCCAACAAACATTTGTCCAAGAACACACAGCTAGGACGTGGTCAGAATTCACCACCAGTTAGTCTGATTCAAAGACTAGGCTCCCCCTGCTATGCTTCACTGCCTTTGTGTGTCCATGTTCTCCACATGGGCTGGGACTGAGACTCTTTCTTGTGTATGCCTGGCCCACAGCAGGTGCTAGTTAAATGTTAGTCCATGGAATCATTCTTCCCAAGACTAAAGCATAAAAAGGAACAAAGAAGTTATTTCATACAGGTAGAAATTACAATCCAACCAGAACAATAAACAATCATAAACTTTATGATCCTACCAACATAGCTTCAAAGTATATAAAGCAAAACTGAATCAAAAGGAAAAATTAGCAAACCCACATCAAAGTAGATTTTATACACCTCCATCAGAAATGATGGAGGAAATAAACCAGTAGTTCTTAAACTTATTGGTCTCAGGACCTCTTCCTACCCTTAAAAAGTACTAAGATTTTAGGTTAAATTAAAGAATTTTTGTTTATACAGGTTTATATCTATCAATACTTACCACATTTAAAATTAAAACTGAAGGAAATTTTATTTATTGATTCATTTCAAATAACCATACTAAACCCATTATATGTTAACATAAATAACAAATTTTTGTGAAAAATAACTATATTTTACAAAACAAATCAATGAGAAGGGTGGCATTGTTTTATATTTTTGCAGTCTCTTTCATGTCTGGGTTAATAAAGGCAGTCAGATTCTCATATCTCCTCCAGCATTCAATCTGTTGTTACATGTTGTTTTGGCTGACATATATATGGAGAAAATTTGGCTTCCCACATAAATATAATCTGAAAAGAGAGTATTTTAATAGCCTTTACAGAAATTATGGCTATTCTTCTTTGATACTACCAAAATATTGCCATGTGGCAATTTCTTAAATCCTGTTTGTAATGTAGAATCTGAATCCATATCAATAAACTTTTCTCACCCAACAGAGTAAAATCCTTAAAAATCCATTTTGAATGGATCTTTACATTATGCAGGGGAGGGTATAGTTCAGTGGTGGAGCACATGCTTAGCATGCATGAGGTCCTGGATTCAATCCCCAGTACCTCCATTTTTTAAAACTAACTAAATAAATAAGCCTAATTACTCCCCCAACACACACACACACACACACACACACACAATTATATACAATTTTTACCTTGTAGACTCCCTGAAAAGGTCCTGGGGACCCTCAAGAGAACCCTGACCACAAGGAGAACCATGGAAGTAGGCAATAAAAAAGTAGGAAAATGTAGGATTTGATAACATAATTAGCAAGCTTGACCTAAGAGTTATCTGTCTAGAACTTTGCTCACAACAAACCGTGAATACACATTCTTTTTGAACAAATGGTTCCCTCCCTCAGCTGGGGGAAATGTGTGCCTGGACAGACAGCAGACGCTCCAAGATGGACAGATGCCCAGCATGCCAGGTGTTCCACCCAGCTGCCTAGGCCCTGGGGCGGCATCATCAGAAAGGGGTACCACATCAGAGCGCAGCCTCCTCCTCTCCTGGCCCTAGAGCCAGGGTAATCAAGTGGCCTGGTCACAGAGGGAGAGCTTCCCCGAATGACCGCACCAGGGTGCAGCCCCAAACTGGACCCCATTCCTGTGAAGGGCATCTCTCCTCAACCTCATCATGGCTGCATGACAGGGAGTCTTGGGGGTCCCCAGGTCAGAGTTGCCAGGTAAAAACTACTCATCCACCTCTTTCACGAGGTTTCCAGCCTGGCCCCCTCTGCCCTTCGGAGCCCCTGGAGCTGCCAGGTACAGACTCACCCAGCTCTCAGACCATGTGTAGTTTTTACATAACCAGCAGCAGGAACAATACCTCACTCTGTCCAGACCAGGCACTGGGATGCCAAGAACAGCACAGGAGACCAGCTGCCCGGGGAGCCAGAACCTTGTACAACCACCTGGGAGCTCCAAAACCCCTTCCAGTGCCTAAAACCACATCTCCCCTGGAGGGCAGAAGCCCTACCAAGCCTGGAGTGAGGGGTGAGGGGTAAGCTGGAGTGCAGGGAGCAGAATTGCTGCTCAGAGTCCCAAACCAGAGCCAGAGCCGGGGTGTCCCAGGAAGCTTTCAGAGCACATACCACATTTTTACCCTAAAGTCACACATCCCTTGGAGATCTAACACTCCTAGGTGCCTATAACGTGCTGGCAAGAAGCAGGGGGATTTCTTTCCATGCACATTCTGTTTTTCCACAACTGCTGAGGAGGTTCTACTTCACAAACAAGGAAATGAATGGCCAGAATGGCTAAGTATTTTCCCAAAGTCACTCAGTAAGCATACACTTAAATTTGAACCTGACTCTTTCTGTCTGCAGGGTCCAGGCTCTTGCACCATTACTATACTACGCTGTCTGGTCCTGTGGGGGAATGGTCCTTCGCCTTCTGAGTGATCATCCCCAGAATGACCCTGGCATCTCTTCATGCCAGGGGTTGGGAGTGGGAGAAGGGGGAGGAAAGCTCATTCTACCCAGACCCAACTAGGTCATCCTGGACACCAAAAGACATCCTGTCCTATCCTTGAGCTCTGTTGGCTGAATTTTCTTCTGCCTCCTCAGCTCTGCCTTGTGTCTTTTTCTGACAACTAGAGCAGATGAAGCAGGACCTATGTCTTTTGCGTTTCTGTATCCCCAGCTGTAGTGTAAACATCACACCTCAAACCTTGCACATAGTAGGTGCTTCGTGTGTGTCTGTTGAATATTGAGAGGAGTGGTCCCTCACCTCTCTCTACTACCACTGCAAAGACAGATTCATGTGAAGACATGAACCTTGGAAACATGCAGGAGGATGAGGGTAAGGGGGGGATGTATGGGCAAGAGGTGGTGGGGGGCAACTGCTCCAGCAGTCCTGCTTCCCAGCAGAGCATCCCAAGTCTTCCTACATGACATCTCCTCAGGGTATCCTCCCACCAAAAGTCAAGCCTCCAATTACGTTCTGGAGAAGGAGTCCCCCACCCCACCCCCAAGCCTCTTGTCCAAAGCTCCTCCCACAGGAAAGTCAGTGAAAGGCAGGGCTCAAACAGAAGGAACTAGCTCCTTCTTCTATTAGCTCTGTGACCAAGGGCCAGTTACTTTACCTCTCTGAGCTCCCCCCATAGTCATTAAGCCTTCAGACTCAGAATCCAGACCTCCTGGTCATACGTAGGCTCTGACTCTGAAATCAGACTACCTGAGTTCAAGTCGTGGCACCAGTCCTTAACTTAACCTCATTATCAGTACCTTTATCTGTAAAGTGGTGATAATAATAGTACCTACCCACGTTATAGCATTATTGTGAGAATTAAGTGAGACAGTTTATACAATGTGCTTAGAACAGACTTGGCACACAGTAAGCACCCAGTTAAGTATTAGCTATCATTGGAAATAGTAGTTGATAAGGTTGCGAGATGCTGTGCAGTGTCCAAGGCACTTAATAAGATCTCACTAAATAGTATGTATAATAATCTTCGCTCCCACTAGGCTGTGATGCTCTGGAGGTGGGTCCCGGGCCATAACCATCTCTGATTCTCTAAGCCAGCACAGTTCCGGGGCACCTGGCAGGAGCTTAATAAATACTTGAGGACTGGAGGATGAAGAACTTGCCCCCTGGACCAGGAGGGTGAGGGCAGCCAAGAGTCTCCTGCCAGGAGAAGGGAGAACTGAGGTGTCAGGGAAGAGAAAACAGACTGGAAGGCGAAAGGCAGAGACGGAGAGATAAGCAAGTGAAGTGAGTGAGAAAAGGAACAGGAGAGGCTGTGGCTGAGAGAGATAAGGAAGAAGGATGAAGACGAG